AGATTCAAACGTTTTGTCGCATAAAATTGTATCTAACAATCATATTGAATATATAAATTATATAAAAAAGCACATTCTCACAAAGATAAATGATGAACATTAATATTTTTTTAAATCGATTAATTGCTATTTTACATAAAAAAGTGGTTTAGTGGCTTATGATGTAGATTTATCAAGTCCGCGTGGAGTGGTAAACACAACAACTTTTGAAAATATCAGTTGTTTAACTCAATCTATTTTTTAATCTCTTCATCTATCATGTGGGAAGCCATGGAATGTAAATGGAAGTTTAATTTTGTTTTGTTTAGTTATAATTATATTTTTTTGTATAATTAATAGAATCAGGCGTTACTTTGCGGAAATCCATTATATAAAAGCTTTTACAACAATTTACTTCGCAAATATCCGCGTTATAAAATAAAATGATGTGTCTTACCTAGTATGAAGAAGCACCTCCCGCCCTCCCTCAATTGCGTGCACTATCCCCGTCACCACTAATCCCAGCACCGCTACTCCCAACACCACTACACTAGGTAAGACACATCATTTTATTTTATAACGCGGATATTTGCGAAGTAAATTGTTGTAAAAGCTTTTATATATTTTTTTGGCTGGATATGTCGAAATTTTCGGTGTTTTAGCAGTCTTGTATTAATTTATTTTAATTAATACACGTTGCTCTGCCTTACTATCTTACTACGCGCACGGCCGCCATCGTAAGTGGATTGATGTATTGTTTGCTTACAGCAGCGGTAATAGGCAGCAAAAATATTGATCGCTGTAGAAATACAAAATATTCCAAAAACCAAATTTGATACATACTTGACTAAGGTTATTATTATTATAATCACAGATTTATATATTGCAATATTTTGTTGCTAGAAGTACGTAGGATTTATATATAGATATACTTATACATACCGGCAGGTGAAGTGTAGGGCGTCCCCCCACTAGATGGAGTGATGACCTGTTAAGACATGCAGGAAGTCAATGGATGGCTCGTGACCGTGCTTTGTGGCATTCCTTGGAGGAGACCTATGTTTAGCAGTGGACTTGTGAAGGGCTGTAATGATTATGATGATAAATCTTGGACTATATGGAGTAAACTGAAGGTGTACTTCGGTGAATGCTACTGGAAGTCCACGAAGAGTAGAACTAGGTGTGCCAAGTTTGGCCACGTTTTGTTAGTTATGATGAAACCTTACCTCTGGACTTGATAGAATGACCTGAAAGTGTACTTCGGTGAATGCTACTGGAACTCCTCGAAGAGTAGAACTAGGTTTGCCGAGTTTGGCCTCGTTTTGTTAGTTATAATGAGATTTTACGTCCGCACTTGATGGAGTGACTTGAAGGTGAACTTCCGTGACTGCTACTGGAACTTTGATGAATAGAACTATAATTTACATTTTTTTTTAATTTTTTTTTTACGATTATATGAGCATTATAAGTATTGCACTTTTGGATTTTCCAAGCTTCTTTTTTGAATTGAAATTTGACATAAAACTATCGGAAAATTTATAGTATAGTAATAATTATAAGGTGAAAACTAACTAATAAAAGTGAAAACCTGTGTGTAATTAAACTACTTTAAAAATTTACGTTTATAAAAGTTATACGTAATTTTTTTAATGCACTTAAGGCATGTACAATTGGATTTACCAATTTAATTTAATTATTACATTTTAATTAATTTAAGTTCACCCCTGAAGTATCAACCTATTTATTAAAAAAAAGCATCTTCGAAATAAGTTCACAATTGAGAACCCCTTGTTTTATTGAAGTCTTCGCATTAGGAGAAGGGGCAGTTAAAACAAAAACAATCACACTAATACTAGCTTGACGTGTATGTGTCTATATATTTTCATATGAATGTAAAAGGAATTTAGTAACTCAGTTTTTATCTACTTCCAGAGGTCTGAATAATCTGAAATTTTGCACATGTATATATTGTAAAACTTGGTTGGAAGTGGGACCTGGATAAGTGATAAACCTCCATAGCTGGAACTCATGCTTAGGTCCCAACACTTTAGCACTGAATTACCTATGTTAGTGACATAAAACAAACCTGTCTATCTGGAAACCCATTTACCTGGGATTAGTTCTATCGATTTTATCGTCATAATTACCTCTATAATTGAGACAGCGAGTTTATGTGACCTCTTTTATTGAGACTCTATTTTAGGGATTAGTTCTTTCGATTTTATTCGTCATAATTACCTCTATAATTGAGACAGCGAGTATATTTTACCTCTTTGAGACGATATTTTGTGCACCGTTTTGTTTACTATTTCTTATTCTACCCGCAAATTCCACACTTGGCTAATTAAGTGGCTAAGTAAAAACGACCTCCAGTTTTAGTTTGTTTTTGCTATAGTCCGGATGTTAATTTGAAAATGTAAGTTATTTTATTTAATAATCGCACCTCTATAACTGAAAATTAATGAAACCCTTTGTAAACGAGACATATTTATTTATACCTGGATATCTGAGACACTGGGTAAGTAGAATACCGCTTTAAGTGAGACAGATTTGCTGGTCTCTAAAGGTTCTAGTTATTCAGGTTTAACTGTATGTATGTATAATAATTTTATAATTATGACCTAGTATTCTCACAAGGGTGATTGATATTATCTAGAGTAAAAATGATCGTAGCTTGTTTACTTCATCTGTAGGTTTTCTTCAACTCTTATTATTATTTATATTTTATCTCAACCAAATATTTGGCTGTTTAAATACCTGATTCTTTTGAGCAACATAATCATTTGACCTTTAATTTGGAATTAGTTCCAATCTTATAAAAATAAATAATTAGGCAACAGTGACAATCTCTAGTAACTATAATAAAATAAATATTTGACCATTCAGCTCACATACAGTTAATTGTATATTGCCGCAATATTATAACAAAATTGTTTACATTTGATGCATCAAAATATATTGGCCTTGAGAAAGAGTTTTTATAGAATTAAGTTGATAAACAAGCACACAGTCCACCTATTAGTAAGCAACTGATGTTAAGCAACTACAAGCTGTCCTGATATCACAACATTTATTCTGTCCATGCTGTTTATTGGTTCTTTCAAAGTTCAATAATAATGATATAAAAAAATGAGCGCAAAATATGTTGAAGCTACTCTACTCTATATTACGTAGGTCACTCAATAAGTTTTAAGATATACAAAAAGTATTCTAGATACTATTAATATTTATTTTTACATCTTTTCAAAATATTCTCCATCATGCTATATACAAAGATCCATTCGCCTAAACTAACTCTGAAAACACTTTTTCCGGTCTTGATCTGATAGGATCTGATAGGTCGGAAATAGTTTCTTCGTAGGCAGCCACGGCTACTTCGGCGCTTGAAAAAAACTTGCCTTTTATTTTTTTGACTCTTGGGAACAAAAAGAAATTACAAGGAGCTAAGTCAGCGCCGTAGGGTAGGTGACTTAGAGTTTCAACACCGGATTCCTCAATAAATGCTTTTGTTCTAAGGGAGTTATATGAAGAGGCGTTATCGTGATGCAGCATGATTCCCCGTAGCTTGGTCTTTGGTCTTCTCTCGTTTACTGACCTACAATTTTCCAGCATTGACGTCGACAAATGTCCGCTCCGCGAATAAAAAAACTAGCCACCATTTTCTTGCCGACGTTGCGAGGTCTTTGCAGTTTTGTCGGTAACTGTCCTTCTAAGTAGACCCATATCGATGATTGCCTTATATTTTCCGGATCATATTGATAGATCCGTGTCTCGTCACCAGTAAAGATCTGAAACACGCCAAGATGCCCCGTTTTCAAAACGTAGACGCATTTCATGGCACCAACCCTCACGAGTCTGTTTTTCGCTTTCGGAGAGCAAACGAGGGATCCATCAACAACAAAGCTTACTCCAAGATGTTGATGTAGGATGGTATGAATGCTTCCCGAACTAATACCTACAGCTCTTCGATGTCCGTATATGTAATTCGTGGGTCTTCTCGCACCAACATTTCAGTAGTCCATACATTTTCTGCCGTTACTTCTGTTTGCGGGGGGTAAAATTAATCTTAAAGATAACCAAAGAACCGGTCTTTGGTCATCTTTAAGATTAATTTTACCTCTTTTGAGTTTAGCAAATCACGTTTGTTGCGCGTGATGGAGCTGAGTCCCCTAATGCTGATTGTAACCGCTATAAACTTAATTGATCGGTTAAACCAAATTTAAAATCATAATATATCATAGCGCGCAAATGTTCACGGTTAAGATCCATCGTTTTAAATGAAAAGTTCGGGAATCGTTGCAGGAAAGTTAATAATAGAACTTTGTTTTTTTTTTTAATGCTGAGCAATTGGCTTATGGAGTTCTATTTTTAAATAAATTAGGTTTTTTAACTATCTGAACTCAACAAAAGGCAGTTATTTTGCTAGACACAGCAATTTTATTTATTTGTATAGATAATTTTTTACTTTATGACCAATACTACCAATACTAATCACAAGAAACTATTGAAACAGTTTAGTATTTCTACGCATTACATCTGAATGTGTTACCATGTATATTTAATATTGCATGATGAAAACTAAGACAATAGAACAACAAACATAATAAGTAAACTTGTAGAAAATATCCCACCAAAACATAAATGACGAATAGGGGGCTAAGGTCGATTATATCGATCTTGGCCCCTTTTCGATTTCTATATTCGATCTTATAATCGATTCTATTTCGATTCTTATAATTTTAATTCCCAAACACGCGGCAAGTCAGCACAGAAATTGAACGATTTGAACGGGGACAGTGGGGTCGGACTTAGTTTATTGGCGTAGCTGCTAGAAAATATGAAAACTGAGGACCTTGTGTTAGGATCCTATAAAATAAATATATACATAATTTAATTTTATTGAATAACTTCAAGTTCCTGGATAATTGTTATAACTCCCTTTAAACTTAATATTTACAATGGTAAATGTTACATTAAAAAATCAACTGATTGTTTTAGATAGAACATAAGCAAGAATCAGAATGCCATCAACACATTTGAATTTGCGCGAAGACGACGTCGTTCGTCTGGCACTCGAGTTTCTCCACAATCGCGACTTGCACATCACACAATTGTCTCTTGAGCGTGAAACTGGTGTCATCAATGGAAATTACGCTGACGACGTACTTTTTTTACGGCAACTCATCCTGGACGGACAGTGGGACGACGTCCTCGAATTCATCCAACCTTTGAGTGCACTCAAAGCTTTTGAAGCAGATAAATTTAACTATGCAATACTCAGACACAAGTATATAGAACTGCTTTGCATTAGGTCCGAAATTAAAGCTTACAACAATGTTGAAAACATTGTGGACGAGGTGGTGAAAGTACTTAGTGACTTGGAAAAGCTGGCACCCTCTAAAGAAGAATACTCGAACCTGTGTTTACTGCTCACTTTGCCCAGTATAACAGATCATGCTCAATTTAAGAAATGGAATCCAAGTAATGCTCGGGTGCAATGCTTCCGTGAGGTGTACCCTTTAGTGGAACAGTTTTTACCCTGCGACAAAAAATCCAGTAGCACTATTTCTAAGTGCGCTAAAAACGATCGCTTAATGCAGTTACTTATTAAAGGTATTTTATATGAATCATGTGTGAATTATTGTCAAGCTAAAGCGACGGGATCGAAAGAAGCTCAGTCGAATGAAGTTAATTTTTCAAGACTGCTTGATGGGTCGGGCTTTGACGAATCCGACTTAAGTTTACTTTCTTGGCTGCAGTCGATCCCAGCTGAAACATTTAGTGTACCGTTCGAACAAAGAATGTTGAATGTCGATGTAGAAAAATTAGATCGACCATCTTTACATACTTCGTGGACCGAACATATGCTTGTAACGCCAATCAAACCACGCACATTCCCACATTTGGCTATGCCTTTTAGGAGACCTCGTTCCGCTGCCGATGCAATGACAAGGTCGTTGCGACCCTTGCCCGATGGTGCCCCACGACATCCAGCTGTGATGGCTCTATCGGCCATAGACTACGGCCCGTCTTCTTCATGTTTTGCTGGATTTCATCTTACTGGTATAAAAGGAAGTAAGCTCATGAATACGTCTGTCGATAGGCTCTTTGATAGTAAAAATGGAGAGAGTATTTACAACGGTTTAAATGAATCGTTGAAGCCAATTGACGAGCAATTGAAACCGATTGGAGAGTTTACGACGTCATCGAAAACAAACGAGGCGGGCAGTATAGGTGCATCGAATGCTACCACTCCCGAGCATAGAGGGCAGGATTATTCAGTGTCTACTTCGATATCAACTACAGCTGCATCTACGGAACGTTCGTCCCTCGCGGAACGTGCCCCACAACAAACGGAACCTGCAATAGTTCCAACTGGCGATGGTGATTTTCGACGAGAGTTGTTAAAGGAGTATCAAATACAGAAGCAACGCGAATGTGACGACTACCTTCGAAATCTCTGTTCCTCCGAATTGAGGCCACAGAACTTGTAAGTTTTTTTTAAAATCCAGCTGGTATTTTTTTTTGTATTTTTTTTTGTAACTTTTATGGATGTACGTGGCGATTCCTTTTCAGGCTGGACCAAGTAAATGACGTGACGTCGTCTTTATATTCGCCGGCAGCCAACTACTCGCAACAGGTGAATCCCGAAGGAATGCTGGATTCGACCCAAATCAGGTGATTTGAACATTTCAAAATCTTTCAAGTTTCTGCAACATATTAAAATGTATTATACATATTATGAGAAAATGAATATGTTGATATTCATTTTCTCATAATATGTATACAAATTATTAGAAGCGTCGACAAGTATGTGCTTCACGGACTCTCATGTAAGAAAAGCGCTGGTAGGTTTTCACGACACAGTTCTTTGAACGATGTCATCTGAAGGGCTCTTGTCTCTATAAATGTTCCCTCGGTTTTAGACTCTTGTGGAATATATAGGGACGATGGCAGGAGACCCGACGGTATGACATTGGTCCCTTGGGAGAGAGGTAAAGCCCTAGTGTGGGATGCTACTTGCGTAGACACTCTGGCGGCTTCTCATCTCAGGGGTACCTTGTTTAGATTAGGGCGGCATCAGAGGCAGCTGAACTGAGTAAGTGGCGCAAATATGAGTCTCTGAGAGATGACTACATATTTGTGCCATTTGCTGTAGAGACTATCGGTCCGTGGGATACACCCGCGGCTGGTCGTTGCTGCTGGTGATAAGAGGGCTGGTTCTTTTTCCGCTCAACGGCTAAGTATAGCCATTCAGCGGGGAAACGCAGCCAGTGTTCTTGGCACGATACCGCGGGGAGTAGGACTATATGATAATTAAGTTTCTAGTTTTAGTTTTTTTAAAATTATTATTATAGTTTTTAATATTGTATATAATTAAATTTAATAAATTTAAGCCATTTAAAAAAACATACATTGAAAAAATTCATTCCCATATATGCCTATGGCCTAAATAATACGAACTTAATACATCACGACTAAGTAACCAATGCCCAAATACTCAAACGGTACTCAATTTTAAGATGCCCGTTAAGTCTCGTGCTGTCTCTATCACTCTATCACTAGTCAAAGTGATTGTGGACACCACGAGACTTGACGACATCTTAAAATAGAGTAGCATTTGAGAATTTGGCCACAAGAATACTCAAATACCATGTCTCTACTATTGTCTCTGTGTTCGAATTCAAACCGAAGAAAACTTTTGTGCATAAATACAAATTGTTGGTTTTGGAGACTGGTTGTAAAAAGATTACGTATTGTGTGCAGTCGTTGTTCTGTCCCTTACTGTTTCTCTCAGAATTCACATTAGTTATATTCGTTACAGCCTATTAAAGACCACTACTGAACATAGGCCTCCCGCACATATTGCCTCATTTGGGATATTTTCCATAGTTCACAGAATACCAGCGTAAAATAGTAGCTTAATGCTGCTGTGTTTCGTATGGTGAGTGTAGGGAACCGGATACCCTTTTTACTGAAAACGAGGCATTCCATCTTGGCCCTCACGGGTGACAATGCATCTGCATTTTGATTCGTAATCGAGGATAAATGTAGATGTCTATGGGCCGCAGCGGCCACTTACCATCGGGTGGACTGTGTGCTCGTTTGTCACCCTTATCCTATAAAAAAAAGTTACCACGCTTAACAAACGGGTTGGCAACCGCATTTTTTATTTTTAGTCGTTATTAGAAAGCCGCCGCTGCCCATCTCCTGATTTATTTCCCTCTGTTGCCTCTTACGACACCCACGGGATGATGTGGGATAGTAGGTATTCTGACACCGCCACTACACGGTAAACATAAAATTCAACATATATTATAAAATGCCAGGATTTATAGTGTAAATATAAAGTTTATAAAAAAAAAAAACTCAACCGCAGTCGCCTATTGGGGTCCAGATTTCGTGATTTCCATTTTTGGCACTAAACCAACAAATATGTAATATGAATCAAGTTGTTCATAAGTTACACGATCATTAACAGACGCTTCAACAATTATGTTTATAAAGAGATATTATACGCAACACAAAAATAGTTATAGTTTAAAAATGGGTGATATGCAATCTGTTAATACGAGGAATAAACAGTTAGTCTCCACAGAGTTAAAAATATTAAGGAATACATGGACGATTATAAACTGGGAATAAGATGATCGCTTCCGAGATGTATTTAAAAATACTTGTACAGTGAATTATATACAACATCAAATTGTATTGTTTTTTAATTACTCGCTGACTTTCTTATTTATTTTAAAGTACATTTACAATACACGTATTATATGATATAATCATTTTTGGTTTTCCACAGAGTAGAGTTATTTCAGAAGCAGTAGTGTATTAAAATCACTATTAATAAGTATTATTTAATAAATATATGACCTATTTATGTTCTATCCCCTTTTTTATGATATTCTATTTAGTCTACTTGCGACATTATCACATAAACGGTAAAGCGACCAAGATTTTGAACTTGTGGCATTATTATATCATATATATTGTGTTGTATTTAACGTTAAGTTATTCATTGAGCTTGCTTACGACAGTTGACGCAATAATTAATTAATTAATAAAAATTCTTAAAGGTTTTATAAATTCAAATACCTAGTTTTCCGATTAAAGACTTCGTAGCAATACAACGAGAGTAAAATTGCTTCCTTGGCGGAGCACTCTACATATTAGAATAATTTTGTTACGGTTCTCACTTCGGTAGAGTGAGCATGCAATTTAATGTGAATATTGTTCGTCAACTACTTGACACATTATATTAAGTGCCCCATCAACTGCCTCAATTTCTCTATAAATACAATTTTAGAAATTTCTTAGTTGTTGGTATTCAGTCTTGAACTGCAGGGGTGGAACCGCATCTGCATTTTTTTTCGTAATCGATGATATATTATGTGGGCGTGGATAACTTTCAATGCGTATTATTTATATTGATTGCAGCATTTAATTCACCATCAGGTAAACTGTTTGTTAAACTTTTTTTTATGATAAGGGTGACAAGCGAGCACACAGTCCCACCTGTTGTAAGTGGTTGCTGTGGCCCATAGACATCTACATCTATCCTCGATTACGAATCAAAATGCAGATGCGTTGTCATCCGTGAGGACTAAGATGGAATGCCTTGTTTCCAGTAAAAAGAATCTGCGGTTCTCTACACTCACCATACGAAATACAGCAGCATTAAGCTGCTATTTTACGCTGGTATCCTGTGAGAGCGTGGTCCTTCCCCGGTCGAGACGACCCATTCGTGCTACAACTATACAATTAAATTATTTGCAGCATGGCTCTAGCACGTTTAAACCACCCTAAATTTGAAAATAAAGTGAGTATTTATTGATGAAGTCTATTGTTTTTTATTTCAGGAAGAATGACGTCACCGACATTCCGGATGCGGCAGATGTGACAGATGTAAGAAACACTTTATTTTATAAATATAATTGTCTAATTGCTAGACATAACGGCGCGATACTCTTCCTTCCTGGTTCGTTGCTCATGGCCGAACATCATGATTGCACCGTACTAGATATTTTTTGTATCACCGCGCCGCATATGCTACGAACCGTCGTAGACTTTATGATATTATTTCATGTCCGCGTGCCGTGATTTATCTATAATTCTTGTTTGTCCGTACGTTGATTAAGTTATGTGATTAAAACGGAGGATGTGCAGATAGCACGCAACTAAATAATTTAAATAATATCAGTATGGTCCCGTATGGAATGCGTTTGTTAGTACTGCATGAAGCTTAGTTTAATTAGGGCTCAGTAGCCCAGTGGCTAAGTGGTAGGTGGTGGCGCTGCGGGGCCGCGAGTTGGAATCTCGTAATGAACAAGTATTCGTATGGCCTACATATAATCTCTCGGGTCTAGTGTCCTAGTGCAATTTTTATATGTAAAGCGTCTTTATGGTAAAGCAATAAAAATGCTAATTTAACGTTAAAAAAACATAAAGCAACAATTACAGATAGATATTCTAAAGAATGTTGTTCCTTGTTGCAATGTGAATGTAAGTTGTTTCTTTACTTTTTATTGTTCGTACGGTCAAACGAAAAAAAAAAAACATTAATTCACATGTAAAAAATCGGACATTAAACTTTTTTATATCGAAAGTACATTCTCCTAATTTTTACATTTAATCTTAATTTAATTAAATAAAATATTTCTGTTTGTACTTCCGAAACATGTAAACAGGGTTCAAGTTTTTTTCGACTTACATTTCAGGAGCGTCATTAGATTTTAAAACTATGATGTTCTATATATCACTATTAGCAATTAAGCTTAATATTAAAAAAAAAAACTTCAAAATAACCGGCATTGTGTGTCCCCAATTTATTCTCACTTTAAATTTAAGTAATATTTCATCATCACTCTGGTAACATCTTTGAAAGATCTGGAAGCTTTATTGGCATTAGTTTAGGCAAATACGAAGCTTTCACATTGTAACTGCATTCCTAAGAAACAAATATATAAGGGAAGAAAGGTTCTACAGCAAGGGAGCAACACGTAGGTACGACAGCAGGTTTTAAATAGTGTCGTAAGCTACAACAACTGTGCACGATACGAGGGCGACACTGAAAGTTTTTGAACTGGCCACGTAAACGACATGATAAAAATTAAGTTCAAATTTTGAAAATGGATCTCTTTGTCAATATTATTGTGTATGTATTTTATTAGTTTGTCCATTTGTTTATGATTTGGCGGCAAATTGAAAATTGTCTGTCACGTCAGCATGAATTTAACGCGAGAAAATTTTCGTACAATGGTTTTTTATGACTTACGGTGTCATTTAAGTCAACAAGAAAGTTATGACAGACTTCGATTGGCCTTTCACAATGAAGCTCCATCTCGTGCCACTGTTTACAACTGGTTTAATGAGTTTAAACGTGGTCGCACTAATCTCACCGATGATCTGCGTGAGGTACAGCCTTCTACGGCGACGACTGAAGATAACATCAGTGTTGTGCGGCGTATGACAGAGACTGACAAAAGCGTGACTTATCAGCAGATTCGGAAAAGCTTAGGCATCAGTATGAGCCAAGTGCACAAAATCCTCCATTACCATTTAGCGGCCAGGAAGCTTTGTGCCCGGTGGATACCTCATAATTTGACAGAGGCCCAAAAACTCCGTCGTGTTGATTGGTGTCGTGAAATGGTTCAAATATTTAGCGGAGGTGATTCTTCAAATGCTGTGTTCGACATACTCACGGTTGACGAAAATTGGATATATTGTTATGATCCTGAAACTAAGAGACAGTCTGCTGTCTGGGTGTTTCCTTCCGAGGAGTTGCCAACTAAAGCGAAGAGAGGTCGAAACGTGGGAAAAAAGATGGTGGCCTCGTTCTTCGGAAGAACAGGTCATTACGCAACAATTGTTTTAGAGGATCGAAAAACAGTTACTGCTGGTACACTAACAATTGTTTGCCACTTGAAAAAGTTCGGAAGAAACGACTTCGCAGTAGGATCCTCCTTCACCACGACAACGCCTCGCCGCACACCGCCAAGCAAACAATCGACTACTTGGCGACGTCAGACGTGGATTTACTGGGTCACCCGCCCTATAGCCCCGACCTTGCACCTTGCGATTTGTATTTATTTCCGAAAATAAAATAATTTTTTTTACTGCTGGGCTGCGTTTCAAAATGCCGTCGAAGAGACCCCTAAGGATGAGTGGGCAAAGTGCTTTTCTCAGTGGTTGATTATGTAAATGAACACTTCAATGATTTTACGTGGTAGAGCCAAACTGCAGCTATATTTATAGTATAGTTGTAGCACGAATGGGTCGACTCGACCGGGGGACACGCTCTCACAGAATACCAGCGTAAAATAGCAGCTTAATGCTGCTGTGTTTCGTATGGTGAGTGTAGTCCGAAGACCCTTTTTATTGGAAAAGAGGCATTCCATCTTAGTCGTCAAGGCTGACATTTTGATTCGCAAACGAGGATAGATGTAGATGTATATGGGCCTCAGCAACCACTTGTCATCGGATGTACTGTTTTTGTTTGTTACCCTATTTCTATAAAAAAACACCATTTTGAAAATACATATATAATAATACTAATAACTTGCTCGTTTGTTCAGTTTTTGATTTTCTAAGAACTTTCAGTGTCACACTCGTATAATAAGTGCAAGTGCAGCGCAAATGCAAATGCATTCACACATCCTAACCTACTCGTGCCCAATGTAACATTTGTGTTATAAGATCGGGGGTAGACTAAAAAGAAAATCGCCACACAATACGGCAAAATGTGTTAAAAGTTTAAGTTACAGCCTATATACGTCCCACTGCGCACAGGCCTCCTCTCATTTCTGAGAGGGTTTAAGGGCAAGGAAATGTCCGCCATGCTGCTCCAATGCGTGTTGGTTAACTTTGTCTTCGAAATATTTTTTTTCCTATTTTTCAGAGATGCAGGTTTCCTCACGACGTTTTCTTTCACCGCCGAGTACGTGGTAAATCAGCACTTAAAATTGCAATTAACAATTTAATTGGTGCCGGCGGGGATCGAACACGGGTTGCACGTGTACTGTGAAATTTACAGCGAGCGTTTAGCCCCTGAGCTACCACGGCTCTTCAAAATGTGTAATTACCGACAAATGTTTGATCCGTCTGGAATTAGAATCCAGGAACCATGGTATTACACGGCACGTAAATCTAGCGCTGAACGAAACGTGGAGGGTATAGCTGCGCATGAGTACTGTCGCGCACGTATCATGTATCAGTACGGGGGACGGAATGCGATTGGAGAGCCAATCAGCGCATGCAAACGATACGCACGCCCGCCCCACGACCCGCTTACTACCCCATGTTACCTTATTTTCGAGTTATGCGCAACAACAGTCACCGCTAGACTTACGTGCCGCGACTTATACTCAGTTCAGCCGCCTGTAATGCCGCCCCGGCACGCACGAAGCATCCTTCACTAGGGCTTTATCTCTCTTTCAAGGAACTAGTCATACCTTCAGATCTACTGCCATCGACTCTAAATATTCCACAAGGCTCTAAAACCAAGGGTACATGAGACAAGTGAACATTTTTACATGAAAGTCCGTGAAACCCAAACTCGTCGAATTTCGCTCCACGGACAGTGAGGCGATATATCAGGCTGCTCTTAATCTGATTCCTACGGCTATGCGCGAACTTTTAATAAGCAAGCTTTCAAGTAATGTGCCGAGATCTTTTTCACACAATTTAACGCACAGCTGGCTATAGTCACTTTCGAGAATGCGCTAAGTGGCATAGGTGACTTGAAAATTTTGCCCATACTCGTTGTGCTAGAGAGGCAATTTTATACGTGGTATAGTTGCAATGTATTATGGCTGTAGCATGAATGGGGTTAGCTCTACGAGGAAGGGAAGGGACACCAGCGTAAAATTGCAGCATATGCTCGTATTACGAACGACCAGAATCGGAGACATATTTAGTGGTAGCAAGGCATTCCATTTTTTCCCTCAGGGGTAATAAAAATACAGCAAACATCCGAAGTCGAGACTTTGATAAACGAAGTCTTGGATAGGGGACGACCAAGCCTAGTCCAATACAATCCTGTCAACCTTTTTATATAATAATAATATAACCTTACAATCAAACGCACAAAATTTATTAATTTTATGCGTTTGATTGTATTACTATATAATAAGCACTCTAAACTTTTCTAGACAATTGCTGTAACACATTAATAGATATATAAAAGTATAAAAATAAAAGAAGACCTTTTTTAGAATTAGGGTGACAAACGAGCATACAGTCCACCTGATGGTAAGTGGATGCTATGTCCCATAGACATTTACATTTATCCTCGATTAAGGATCAAAATGTAGATGCGTTGTCACTCGTGAGGACTAAGATGGAATGCCTCTTATCCAGTAAAAGGGTCTCCGGTCTCTACACTCACCATACGAAACACAGCAGTTAAGCTGCTATTTTACGCTGGTATTCTGTGAGAGCGTGGTACTTCCTCGGTCGGGCCGACCCATTCGTGCTACAACTATACTACTAATATAGCTGCAGCATTGCTCTACCACGTATAAAAATCTGCTGATAAGTCACTCTTTTGTCAGTCTATATCACATGCCGCACAACACTGATGTGATGTTATCTTCAGCCGTCCCTCACGTAGATCATCGGTGAGATTAGTGCGACCACGTTTACTCATAAACAGTTGCACGAGATGCGGTTTCATCGTAAAAGGTCAATCGAAGTATCATAACTTTCTTGTTGACTTAAATGACATCGAAAGTCATAAAAAATCATTGTACGAAAATTTTCTCGCGTTAACCGCGGCGCCCACCTAAGATTCATGATTTCGACATGGCTTGTAGCATGATTCTGACGATACTCTGACGTGACCACGGGTGACACTCCTTGCACCAACCTGTGCAACTATAGCATGTCGCAGAATTCAGTTTGAGCCAAAATGTCGTCTGAAGAAGATAAACATGCCCTTGCTATGCTACAGATTTCAAACATTCCAAGTGCCAGCAAAAGATTTTGAGTATATGATTTGAGGAAAAAAAATGAAAAGTGGTGTTAAGTTGTGCTATGAAGGAATTAGAATTATATTTTGCATAGACAAGTCACTACAAGTTGCAAGTAGCATCTTGCGAGTT